AATCAAATATAATAATTATACTATGGCTAAAATTGTGATAACATTGGCAGATTTATCATCATTTCTTTTTTAGAAAATTATATTAAACATGTTAATGTAGTTATAAAATATATTCTTCATATTAAATCCTATCTTAATTATTAAAATATTACATATTTAATAAGATTTTAAATTCAAATATTTTTTTATTTAGTTCAAAGTTACAAAACACTAAGAATAAAGGGTGCAAATTAAACTACAAAATTTACATACCTTAACTGTAATTCTACCCAAACGTGGGAATGCATTTGTGACTTGCCCACCATCGTTGTAACATTGCTCCGCCGTTGGTCGAGCTAAATTGAAAGAAGTTATCTTAAATATGTTGATTCAAACTTTAAATCTCGTACTTCAGCCATTATAATTTCTTTTAGTAAAAATTTTTTTCGATGGAAAGAAAAGTTAGAATAAAAAAATGAGAGGAAAGAAAATGAAGGAAAGAGAAAATTAAAAAAAATATTACCACTCCTTAAATTTGAATGGACAAGAAAAAACAGAAAGAAAAAAATGAATAAATATCACAATGATTATAATACCTATATGTATGATTATAATACCCTTATTTTTATCTTTACAAAAATAATTTGAAGTATATTAAATTACATTATCAAAATAATTTAAAATCAAAGTATTGAATATATTTCATGTTATAATATTTTAAAACTAAATAATTTAACAAGTATGATTTTTATTTAAAATTTAAAATTGCATAATTTCATATTATTTTTCTATTTAAAAAAATTTAAAATTTTTTATTTATCATTTTTAGAAAAAAAATGTTTTCAGTTTTTGAAGTTTACTGTACTGTAAGATTTTTTTTAAAAAATAAAACTAGATATCAATAGTAACAACTAAACAAAGTACAAAACAGCTAACAAAAAACAAATAAAAAAACAGCTCTTTCATTATCCCCCATGTCTAATACTATGAAATTGATGATGATTAAAAGGGCAAAAACTATTGTTCAAAATGTGTAATAATCTAGCAAGAAAATCTGCATGCCTATTTTTGTTTCTATGAATGTGATAAAAAATTTTCTATCTTCTCTGTAGAAGAAAACTCTAGCTTCTTCATCAAAGTTTCAAAAAGAATAGTCATAATTGCACCTGTTCAAAAACACTTCATGCCTCTCATTGCAATCAGAGAAAACTTCAACATGATAGATTCTCCTTCCCTAACCGCTGGTGTAGACTTTGTATGATATCAATGAGCTCAACTATAGCTGGGAGGAATCAGAGCAAATCGGCAACTAAATCTATAAATTCAATTATTATTAATGTCTTGCAAGATTCCACCACATCACTCCATTCTCTCTAGCAAAGCCATCAACATAGAGTTGAAAGCAGTCACATTATAAGGTTGTCCTTGATCCTTTCCAATTCTCATTGTTCTCAATGAGGAGCAATTATTAACTAAGTCTCTATTAATACAAGCTCTAATCAAATTAAAGCCACCATCATTGAGAATACACACATGGTCTAAGTCAACTAAAACACACAACACCAACTAACCCAAATGTCCCAACATATATATTCCAATACACACAATCTGAGTCAAGTACCAATATTTTGTTTTGAGAGAATGATAGTTAGGTTCTAAATAATGAATTAGTGACAATTAGATTCTTAATAAATTTCTCACAAAATAAATTATAAATATCAATTTAAATAATTACAATAAAGTTTTTTGTTATAATCTAAAAATTATATTTGATAGTTAAATGCTTATTTATAATTAAAATCTTAATTTGTAATAATTTAAATGAAATTTTTAATTTATTTTTTTAAAAAATTTATTGAGAACTTAATTAATATTAATTTTGTGTTTTAAAATCTAACTCTCATTCTTCTTTTATTTTATGTTTTTCGAGCTCCAACGTCCTTGTCGTATTATTTGTAGTTTTTTATTCGGGGATTCAAATATTTCTTATGCATCTTTTTCCAGGCACGGATCTAATTTAAATAAAAGGAAGTCTGCACAAGAAGATGATGGCAAAAGCCACAGAACAAGAGGAGGGCGGAGCGAGAAAGAAAGTTTTATTCTCAAAATCTCTTCATAAGTGAAGAGAAAACTTGAGAAAAAAGTAATAAATTTTACACATTTTTTTTTTCTCAGTTTTTTTAAAAAATAATAATAAATTTTTTTAAAAAAATATAAATTAATAATTTAATTTAGAAATTTTAAAAAACTTTTCTATCATTAATAAATTTATTTAATTATCAAATTACCTTTTAATAATTTCTATAATATATAAAAAATTTATAAATATATAAATAAAATTTATAATTATTTATTTTTAATAAAAATAATTTAATAATTTATATAAATTTATTAATGACAAAAAAATCTTTAAAAATTTTAAAAATTAAAATATTTTAAAAATATTAAATTATCATTTATATCTTTTAAAGAATTTTTATTATTATTTTTTTTTGTCCATTTTAAAAAATATTTTTTCTCTCTAATTTTCTATTTTCTTTATATTTTTTCTCCATCCGGACAAAAGATAATGCGTGCAGATAGAGGCGGAGGATGGGGTGGCGTGAAGATAGAGGCAAAGAGGGGGTGCCACGTGTCAGAGTACGGCTCTTAGGTGGGAGGCCATCTCGCACGCCACCATATCACCTCTTTCTTTGCTCCCACTTCAAGCTATTCCCACTTTTCATCATCTTTGCCTGCCTACTCAAATTGATCTTTCCCTCCACAATCTTTGGCGTTTTTTTTTTTTTTGGGTTATGTATCTATTTTCTCATGTCCTATCATTTTCTTGTTATATTTGGTTTCTATTGCATTTTAATTTTTTATATTTTTATTAGATAAAAAAATGTAAATTTAAAAATATTTTTGTTATTATCAACTCAATTATTAAAATTATTAAATTTATTTTTACGCATGTTATAATCTCAATTAGAACTAATATTAATTATGTATCTTTATATTTGTTATTATTGTTAATCATTAACTGTTGCTGTTAATCATTATTGTATAATCACATATTGGATGAGGAGAAGGAAAATATAAGATAAAATGGAAAAAAATAGAAAAAAAAGGCATAGAAAACATGAGAATAATATCTATATGGAAAATATGTGAGCAGCATACTTAGTGCGTTGTAGTCTTTAGGTGATTGTAGAAGCCACATTTTTCTACTCTAAAATCTCCTTACGAGAAAACTTTAGGAAAAAAATACACGAGGCCTCATACATCTTTTTTTTCCTCCACTTTTCTCTCAATATTCCTTTTATTCCTTCCTATCCAAATAGGAAAATAATTATATTCATCCCTCTTCTTGATCCTTTCTCTTTTCGCTTCTTTCTCTTCAGGCAGGTCGATGTGAGATTAGTTGCAATATGATGGATTTAATGCATTGATAGGATTATACTTTTATATGGGTCCTCTAATTTCTAGACTCTACTCATAGGATACTTGGTGCATTGCTCAAGGAAGAAGGATTGAATTTATTCTAACAATAGACATATATAAAAGTTCTAAATGTTTTAACCATCCAAATCCTTCTTTTACCTGTTTTTCATTAGGCAGCATTGAGAAGACTACTGAACCTGTGCCTTCTGTTGTTGAACACAGAGAGAGAGAGTAGCTAGATTTTAATCCCAAAAACACTGATGGGCTTTCCAAAGACACAGAATGCTGATGAGTGGTCCAGTTGGCTAAACTCAAAAGAAGACAATTTTGATACGTAATGCGAAAAACAAAACTTGGTACAAAGTCATGAAGCACCTGAACTTCATTTGAAAATTCAGAGTAAGAGATCTCTCATGCATGGACTAGTTAATTAAAACTAAGCCAGTAATTGTGGTTTAGTGTGATTACAACACAGGTCTCCCATTTCCGGTACTGTTCATCTTGGTAATGTGGACTTCCTGAGGCAGAAGATTGTACTTGACTCCATGTACCTCAAAGATCTTCTTCAGCTCTAGCAAAAGCTCTGTGATCCGATTGTTTCGTTCCCCGTAGTTCTGATGGTTGATAGTATGTTGAACACACAGACACAGCTTCAGCTTATCCACATTCTCTATCTCTTTGGCTATCACTGCGTGCTTTGGATTCCAGTACTTGGGCTTGCTCTCTATGTACCTGTATATATACATATAGTCGTTAAAACTTAATCATAGTACGATCATAGGACTGTTTAACGTAGCATATATAGGGACGTGAGAAGAAAGATGAAGAGAAACATGTTCTTACGTTTGAATTGCTTTCTTGAGTGAAATGATGGTCTCCATAGGAGTTGAAACATCAACAACGAAATCAATAGAATCCCAAATCTCTGGACTCCTATAGAAATTGCTTATTGGCTTGTTGAGCAAAACTGCGTTGGGGTAGTAGATTTTCTCATTGTCGTATCGAAGAAACACAGTCGTCAAGATATTCATCTCTTCCACAGTCATCTGTTCATCAGTAGAAGTATATATAATACAAGACAATTAAACTTAGTAATTAAGGTGCGACGTGGGCATTTTTCAAGTTGAGAATTTCGTACGTGAACATCATCAATGACGCAGCGATCTCCAATGTCAAAAGGGTGCATGACAAAAGACGAAGATGATGGCCTCCAACACAGTCTTGCAGGTACCTTGGAAGGCAACCCCGACCAGAACTATCTGTGTAATGACGAAAAGTATCACTTTGATTGTAGCCAGCTCCATCACCAAAAGGAGAACTACGATTATTATCACTGTCACTATTGAGCTGGCTATCTTGTGAAGCTGTTGCACTGCTGTTTTTGTGTCATTCAGTGATTGTGCTAGAGCCTTTCTTTCATAATAAGCTCGAATCTGATCATCCACGCATATTCATTTGTTAATTATTAAGTTCTGTACTGCAAAAGATATCTTATATATATTGATTAAGCTGGCAAAGAAACGGATCATTGAACTGGGGAATTTTGCAATTAATAAAAACTTACCACCCAATTTCTAAAGGAAGACCTGGAGATCTTTCCAGTTTCGAGGGCACCTTCAAAGAGTGGGAATATAGTATGAACCTCAACTCTCTTCAAAAATCTCATGAGATCCTCCTCCTCAATATACCTTCAATAAAATTATATAAATATGAATCAGATGCCACTCATTGTGTCAATAAAAAGTCAGTTATATATGTTGTTTACAATTTAGAAAACCAGGAATATATATATATATATATATGGTCTTGGTGGTTAGCATATCGACTTCTCCCATCTGGGAACGTAAGATAGATACGTTTATTTGTGTGTCTCTAAAGCTTGTTCAAGTTACAGTGTAGAGAGTGGTGACCACCATAATCTTTACCAAATTAAAGATGATAATATTAAGCAGCATGTGACCTAGATTAAAAGCCATGGAAGGCCCAGTTACGTTGGAGTGGAACAATCATAGACAGAGACTAATAAAGCCATAGGATAGGGTTTGATCATGTTTTGAGTAGTATTTTGATCCACTTCATGCATGCTCTCCATCTTGCTAAATAGTGGAGAGAATATTTGATATATATGGCACAGTGTTTTCGTGGTGGGGCCAAGATAATGGAGCAGCTGGACTTATTGCGACAATACAAAACGTAACGATGATTGTACTGTGGCCTGTGGCCCTTAGAGCCCATCAGGGAGTAGTGTACACTGCTATGAACCCAAATTAAGGAGAGGCTAATGGGGTCAGCTAGATCGAATTGAAGCTTCCGTTGAAGAGTCTGGTGATGGCTGCTTGGTTACCTGGCTACCACATATTAACGTCATACGGCATAATAAATGGCTGTCGTTTGGTGCAGAAGCAGCATCAATGAGGAAGGACCACAGAGCAACTAAGGTTGCTATTTGAGAGGATTGTTGTTGGTCAAGAAAAAGAGAGGATTGTATAATTAAAAGGACCCCAAAGCAACCTAACTCTTCAAAAGTCTCACAAGGTGTCGTTTCATGAAGCACCTGTGCCTGAATCAAAATCTGAAGTGGGCTAGGGGGTATTGTTTTGATCCCTGTGAATGCAGCTGGTTCACACGAATATTCTTTAAACCACGCGCGCTCGCGCGTCATTAAGTTACATCTCAATGGTCCTTGTGCATGCGTAAGAGGTAGAGCCAGTAATTCAAGTTGAGCCTGACAGTTTAGCCTGAAGTCACCCGAAAAAAATTAGGGCTGAGTTTAAAAAAATTATGATATTTTTATATTTAGGCCTATTCGGGCTTTGAATAGGCCTGAGAAAATTCAAGCCAAGCCCGATCAAGTTCGAACTTGGCCCGAATACCCAAATATTTTTTTATTTTTACAAAATATATAAAAATAATAAATATTAATTAATTATTTAAGTTTGAGGTTATTTTATATTAAAATACCATATATTTGAGTTTATACATCATTTAAGTATAAAAAAATAATATTTTTTGTAAATAAAATAATTAATTTTAAAGTAAAAAATTTAATTAAAAATAAAATTCGAATATTTGAGCCGCCCAAAGCTCGAAGGAATTTAGGTCAAGCTTAGTTATTCAAACCTTTTGAAGAGTCAGACCTATTCGGGTTCGGGCCTATTCGGGCTTGCCAGCCTGAATTCTCAGCTCTACTAAAAGATACTGAATTTTATCACGTTCTTTTTAGTGGCAGAGTTACTATGAGGAGGACCATACATTTTTAGTGTACGGTCGCATGTTATAATTTCTCCATATATAGGTATAAAGCATTAATCAACATTACTGACAAGCGAAATTCATTTCATGAGATCTTATGGATTAAGAGATCTTTTATATATCATGGTAATGTATTTTCACAAAATTTGTCATTAATCTAGAATTGTTAACCTCTCGTGTATTTCTATTGAGAAAGTAAAATACAATATATTTAACACAATAATACTTCAAAAATTATTTGATTGGATGTTTATAATTATTTAAATTTTATAAAATTTGGTCTGGAAGACTAAGGTGCGTAGTTATGTTATTTTTAAATTAAACAATGATTGATTTAATGAAAATCAACTATAAAAAAATAGAAGTGTAAATTAAAGATATTAAATCTATTGACAAATGAACTCTCAATCCATAGCATAAATAATTATTGGGTTCTGTTACTACGTGTTCTCACAGCATAAAAAGTTTCTTCCCTTTTTTTTTTCAGATCGGCCAGCTTAATGAAAACGTGATATAGGGGCCCCAAAAGACACTGCTATATAAATGTGAAGACATCATTGAAAGTTTGAGAAGATTTCCTTAAAAAAAAAGTTTGAGATGATTAATTTAAAGTATAGATAATTTAAACAATTTAGATTTAAATCTAAACCAGAAGAAATTAACGTTCTTCTTATCTTTTCTGATATATGATGTCATTCAACCCATGGAAAAAAGTGTATGGAAGCTAATTAAATAGTTAACCTGTGAGGCTGCTATGAGAATTGTTTAAATTGTGTGCATCGGTCTAATTATAGTCTAATTATCATGTGAACGACAACATTTTATTTCAAGGGCAAGCAGGTACGTTTAATCAATTGAAAGCTAAGTTATCTATTTAAGCATATCGACGACCTAAAATCTAATAATTAATTAATTAAACTTAAAGAGACAAATAATACACAGTACACTTACTTGGCACCAGGTTTAGCAACGTTCTTGAAAATCCTCTGAGCACAATTCCGAGCTTCCCACTCGCTGCAAATCTCAGACTCGGCGTTCCCGAAATCGTCGATCGTCCGGGAAATCGTCGACAACCCCGACGACTTCACGTAGTTCACCAGTCTCTTCACACTCCACGCCGACGCCGTGCTCTTCATACTCAGCTCTCTCAGCTTGTCCATATCAATCTTCCTCGACCCAAACTTCTTCGACTTGTACAAGTTCTTCGCCTCCTTTATCGCTTTATGCCTTCCCTTCCAGTTCGCCGGCATGGACTTGGACCCCGTCAGAGTATGCTGCGACGTCGTTTCATCGTTCTCCTCCAAGGGAGGCCCAGAGAGTGTGTCCAGTATGTAGTGATGGAACACGCTCTCTTTCATTCTGTCGAAGTAGGTCGCGACGTGGAACGACGAGGCTAGCATTTTCACCAGCACGATCTTGACGAGCCAGATTATGGCTCCGACGAGGACGGCCACAAGCGCCTGAAACACCTTGTTGAGGAACTTGTGATTTTTCTTCTGGACGTTGTCGAAGACGACGGTCCAGTACGAGAATAACACGAGGCCTAGCCATATGCAGTTTCTGATGCTTTTTCTGAGACCGTAGACGAAGTATAAGACCTTTTCTCTGAGCATGAAGTTTCTCTCTATGATGAATACGGACACAGCTACGAGCCAACCAGAGACTAAGCGTCCACTGAAGGTTACCATCCCCATCAAGCACCATTTCCAAATCTCCAAACCCCACGAATACTTCGTTTTGATGGAGGGAATGGTGAGACAAGAGACCAAGCTGGTTAATATGATGAGGAACAACGCCCACTCAACCACGCGCTTCCACTGAATCTTCCGACGACGACGTTTGGTTTTCTCGTTGGACTTTGGGCCGTCCTCCTCCACCTGATCTTCTTCTTCATCGTCGTCTTCGTTCCATTCGTCGTCGGTGGAAGAATACCGGCCGGCAATGTCTTCGACTTCTTCGGAGACGGTGAATTGGGTGTAGAGTGGGTGGTAGTGTTCTTGGATGCGAGATTTGGGTTTGGAGAAGCTCAGGCGATTGAGAGTCTTGACTCTGGAAGTGAGTTTGGGCTTGTTGGTGGTGGTGGTGTCATTGTTTATGTTGTTCTGATGAGTTTCCATGGAGGGATGACCAGTGTTGAGGTGGTCGATGAAGAGGACGACCTGATCGGTCTTTGGTTTATCCATGGATATCGATCAGAGAGGGCTTGGAAAATGGGGGCAAGGGGGTGACTCTGAAGACTTATTTTTTCGAACAAAAGGGGTGAGTCTGAAGACTGCTTCTAGCCCTCAAATGGTGGTGGTGATATATTGATATCTGTGCAGTGCAGTGCGTGCAGGCCTATTTAAAGACTAGAGCATGCTTTTACCTTTGGTCCTCCTCATTCGACTTTAACCAGTCACTGTTATTACATTTTCTTAATTAAGTTCCAATTTTAAACCACGTGGGTGAGGTTCCTCGTCTTTTTTTTTGGGGGGGGGGGGGGGGGAACTCGGAATGGACACTAAGTGTGCGTTTTGGTTTTCAGTTTGTTAAAAGTCAATTTGATAAAAATTCATTTGATAAAAGTCAGTTGAGTGAAAGTCAGTTGTTTTAACAAAATTTGTGTTTGGATACATTTTTTTAAAAGTCAGTTTGACAAACTAAAAATTGTTTGGATTAATAAAAATTTATACTTTTAAAATGTACTTTTAAATATACAATGACTAAAAAAGACATTAATTTATGATAATTGATAATATTTGTTATATAAATATAATATGTTAAAAATGTTAAAAAAATTTGGATAAAAATATAAAGTTTAATATTAAAATAAATTATGTAATCATTTTACTGTTTATGCATTTTATTTATTTATTTATTAATGAAAAGGGCATGTTGCTTTTGCCTTTTACGATTGGCAGAATTCACGAGAGGCCATTGTGGGAGGGGGAAAGGTCACGAGGCTGGAGAAAGGTTTTCTTGCTTCTGGATTTGGACTGAACCCTAGCTCTACATCGCAACCATGTCGTCCAGGTAAGGTAGCTCCTTCTCCGATGTCGGTCACAGGAATCACCTGATTCTCCGATTTGGCAGACTCTTCTTATGTTTTGAACTTGTGCTTTTTCCCTTTATTTTCGATCTATGAAACCCTTGTGCTTTGATCTGTTTACTAGTGCTTTTATTTTTCTTTCCGCCTGAGATTAATGTTTGGATATGTGGGTGGAAAAGCCAAGCCTTTGAAAAAACCCAAATCTGATCAGAAATGAGGAGCTCGAGCAGAGATGGGAATGAATCAGTGAAGACATGAGGCTCGATTGCACGACAAGAATGAGAAAATAATTGAGGATATCATGGTCAAATATAAAATTAGGTACTGTTCTTTAATATTTCATATCCACATTTCCGTTTCAAAAGCTACTCGATGGAGCTTCCAAATTTTACGTTTCAGCTGGGTTAGGAAGTCCTTCTAAAAAGTACATTTGGTTTCATAAAATTATTCCAAACAGCGTTTTACATCCCAAAAGTGAGAAAGTACTTTTGGGATGTGAAAAGCTAATTATCCAAACGGTGCCTAAATTGACTTCATGAAATGCAAGTGAAAACTGGGATTTAAATCCTCTTCATCAAGTACAGAAAGTCGTAATATTGGCATTCAACATATCAAGACACTGATTCAATAATTAATGCTAGTCAAAAATTTGATTGAGCACTAGTTTGATTGGTTATCAACAAAAAATTTTACTAGACTATCTAGTTAAGCTACTGGTTTAATTATTTATTACTTTAAGAAGTCAGGCTGACGAAATTTTTAGTATATACACATTTCTATACTCAATCATATTTGTCAATTTAATTGTCCATTTGATGTAATGGCTTTATAATTATTATTATTAGTTAAATTAGCATTTAGATTGATGGATTTACATTTAAATTTTAAATTTTAGATTTCACATTTAACTTAAAATTCGTATGTTTAAAATTGTTGTTAGATACTATACAAAATTTTAAAGGTTTAAGAGAGAAAAGTTGAAATTCAAAGCATAAACAGAAGATTAGAAATGACGAGCTTATATTTATTCTTTAATTAGTGAAAAACTATAACGAGAAATGAGACAAGTGATGAGGATAACAAGGATCTTGATTGCAAAAATGTGAAAAAAAAGTAAGAGGGTTGAAAATTGAAATTTAGTTGGTAAAAAAATAGTTAAAATTTTAAGTAATTAGGATTTAGAGTAAATTTAAAATTATAAAAAATTTATAATAAAATATAAATTTGTATTTGGATCAAGTTCAAATTCAAATATTTTTAAATCCAAATATCTAAGCATCGAAAAGGACCCTCAGTGTTTTTTTTTTTAAAAAATCATATCACTTCTTTGATACAGTGATTAAATGAATAATATATTTATTTTTATTCTATATATGATTAGTAACTTTACACCATTCAAGCAACTAAATAATTAAATGAATGAATGAGATTGAATAAAGGGAGATATATTGGAAGAGTGTGTAGAGAGTACTCAAGTCCATATGTACATACTTATCAAATTTTGATTATACTTAATTTAATATATTGTATGCATGTTAACAAGTTCAATGGATGAGATATATATATATATATATATATATATATATATATATATATATATATAAAATAAAAATGAAACATATAAACCTAAATATATGAGAATAATATTCAATGATAAAGGGACGTGGGCGAATCATGCCAATGATGAGGACGATGAGGGGATTGATGGAAATTATATTTGATTTGATTTAGAATTTATTAAGATTTGATTTAGTATTTAGGGATTGATATTATTTTTTTAATATTTTACATTTATTTTATATTTAAGTTCTATCTCAAATAAAATAAGATATTTAGACTAACTAGACACCTTATCATCATATTTTAAATTATAATTTAATTTAGATTTATTACTCTCTCCGTCCTAAATTATGGGGCATTTTTGAAGTTATTTCTTCATCCTAAAATATAAGACATTTTAAATATATTAAAATTTTATTAAATATACTAATTACAATATTATCTTTTTTCTTTATATATTAATTTTCGTCCTTTCTAATTTCAGTATATTAAATGATTGATATTTTTAAAAGTTTATATTTTTATTTTTAAAATATAATATTGTTAAGTGTATTTAATGAAATTTATTAATCTTATAATTTAGGACAGATGGTGTATTATTTTATTAGTCCTAGCACTACTAGAAAAAATCAAATTAGTGAGAAAATTTAGCGAGGAATTATCTACTCCTCTCTAAAATATCAAATTAGCAAGGAAATTAGTAAAAGATATAAATTTCATAGCTCGACTTAAAATTAGTGAAAAAAAATAGCGAGAGACTCCAATCCCTCAAGGAATTTAGTGAGGGATTCTATTCATACCTAATTGCTGAAAAAAAATTAACTTTTGACGATGACTTTTAGTTATATATTGAATTATTTTCATTTAAAAATTAACTAAAATATTTATAATAAAATTATTTAATATTTAATATTTTTTTTATTTTAAGTTCATTTTCATTAATAAAATATAAATATTTTTAACATATAATTGAAAATAAAATTAAATATATATTTATATTTTTATAATATATTATTTGATATATTTGTATAGTTAAATAATATATATTTAATTTCTTATATAATGATTGTAGGCACCTTTTAGTTTAACCGATAAAGAAAGAGAGCATAAGGCTTGAAAAATAAGAGATTAAAGGTTTAAGTTTTGGCCTTGACATAAACATAATGAATATGTAATATGACAAGAAGCAAATAACATGATGATAGATGAATGACGATATGTCATAAGTTGTTACACACGTGTTGGGTGATGAAACACAAGATGGTAGGTGGCAGTGGCGGAGCCACCTGTAATTGAGGGGGGCATATGCCCCCCTTACCTAGGAAAAATGACATGTTTGAGAGTATAGATTTTTATAGTTTATAATTTGCACCTTTTACTTATTATACTTTACATCCCTTTATTTTTATATTTTAAATTTTAAACTCATTTTAATCTTATTTTTTTTAGCTTAGATCTATTCAAAATTTTAACTTACCTTCATGAATATTAATCCACAATTTCACTATACCTAAATATCAATATTATTTATTAATTATTTAAAAAAATTAATATGACTAAATAGATTCACTCTCACTCCTCATCTTAAATACTCCTTAGGAACAAGCTAAAAAAAACAATGATAAATAATAAAGATTCAAAACTCAAAAGTAAATTAGGTGAATGTTTTTCATTAGTTTGTTGCACTTACAAATCTACAATTGAAAACTGAATAGGAAATAAAGAAAGAAGAAGAGAGAAATAGTTGATTTAGAAGAGACAAAACTGTCTTTCTTTTATCAAAAATTCTAACTCCATCATTGCCTCCTGACCCAGGATTTTAGCTTTGCCATTGGTAGGTGACATGGCGGTTGAGGAGGCACGAGGTTGTTAACGACATGTCACAAGTTAATGCACATATAGCAGGTGAGGTAGTATCATTATTTTTAAATATAAGTATATTTACTGTAAAATTGATCCTTCATTAAAACTATCAAATTTTAAATAATATTAACTCACTAATTAGCGAGAGAGATATGATCTCTTACTAAATTTAACGAGCCACTTTTTAACTATGAATTTAACGAAAAAAAACTATCATTGAATCAGGGATATTAAATTTTATTTTTTTAGTAGTGTAGAGTTTTTTCAATTGTGTTACGTTTAAATAAGAATTATATGGTCATCTCTTCTTCCTTCCTTCTCTCTCTTCCCCTCTCCTAATTCATGTTTCACATCAGGGGGTATTCATCATAAAATTAAAACCATGAGCAAGAGAATGTGAGGAAAGTATTAGAAGACAGAAGCAAAGCGTCCAAAAACGGACACAAGCTTGCACCACAAATGGTGGAATTAAGTGCGCTGTGAGCACATGCCATGGCATGGGCCCACTTTCCCCCACTTCTGGATTCTCATATAATATATCACATCGATGTTATGTTATGCTTTTCTAATTAAATTACACCGCCCTCGGTTCCCCAAAGAATAATTGAAATACAAAACCATCAACATCCAAACTACAAACAAGAGCCAAAATCTTTACTTTCACTGGTTAAATTACGAAAGCTAGCTAGTGATTAATTAACAGGTCGAACCCGTCACACTATGTTTTATTTTAGTTGTTTTCATACAAACATATATTATATGTTAAAAATGTTGAATATTGATGGTGCAGTACAAGCTGGGGAGTACCAAAAACAGGCGAAAAGAGCACTCGGAGAGA